CGAGTTGGTGTGCGCAGATGATGCGCCCCCGCCGAAGCTCCCCCTTTACGTTGTCGTCAAGTTTGAAGGGTACTCGGGGGGGGAATGGTCGTCTCAGGAGAGGTATAGACGTTGTGTCCCTATTTCTCCCGTCGACACCACCTGGCAGGACGGGGGGACGCAGGTCAGGACGCAGCTGCCCCTTAGGCTCTGCTGGGCAATTACGATGCACAAGTCCCAGGGGCAGACTTTAGCCAAGGCCGTCATTGACTTGGGGCCCAAGGAGGCCTGCACGGGGCTTACTTTCGTCTGTCTCAGTAGGGCGAAGAGACTTGTGGACCTCATGGTAGAGCCCATGAGTTTCGACAGGATTGGTAACCTTGGAAATTCGCCGACGATGAAGGCTAGGCTGCAGGAAGAGGTTAGACTTGGGGAGTTAGCACAGAGTACGAGGGTCAAGTACACGGACATGGGCGTCTTCAGCGCCGTCGCGGGTAACCAATGACGTGAATTGCAAAGAGAAAAAGAAGAAGAAAGGGTCTCTTCCACCTCCCGCGGACGCACACGTCTGACGACAGTTACATCTATCAGCTGTCGCTCGTTTTAGCGACAGCTACTATATTATGCCAGCCGTTATACCTAGCCGCTGAACACTGCTGCTTCTGCAGACAGCACTGCTGTAGTTAATGTAACATGTGTTGACATGATGATCCGATGGGAGATGGGAAGCGGACAAGCGGACCGACTGCACGACACGGGGTTTCGACTTTTGTGGGAGGGTTTTGCCTCTATTGCGCCGCATGTCGGGACAGTTGCATTTTTCACTGCCCGTTGGAAGAAATCAACCCCTTGCTGTTGAGCGGAGTAACCCGCCCGCGGATCCGATGCCATGTGCACGGAGTTTGGTGCAGCGGCAGAGCACAGAGCGGACGTGCACTCCCCTCATAGATAGACAAATAAGACTCGGGTCCTGTCGCGCCGGCGTTCTGTCTATTGTCGAGCTGGACTGTGGCTTCTTCATTTTCGATTTGGAACGTGATTGGTCCGGTAGGTGCGCCGACTCTCTGCTTTTTGGGGCGGGTGCCATATGCACACCAGGCAGGTGCGATCGGTGCTGCTGAGCCTGAGAGCGAGCTTGACTAGTCGGATCCTGGGTCTTGGGGTCCAGGCGGAGATATCGAGGATGGATCCATCGCAGGAGTCAAGGTGAGCGTCCTCACCCCCGGCACACATTGATATCTGAACTCCCGCGGCGTGGTACATAACAGCAGACAGGAGTGTAGGGACCATCAGCGATACCGGCGGCGTGCAAACATAAACCTAAATACATTAGCAGCATTATGAACACATGGGTTTAGACCTGGAAGGGCACGAACATTGCTTTGAGGTCTCTCCCAGCCTCTTCCTCTAGTGCTTGTACAGTGGAGGTACACCACGGGCGTCACCTCTTTCGTTGTGTGCCGACTGCCTTCCTTGCCTTTCTCTCCCGGCTGGTCTTCGATCCGCAGTCGCTTGGGGTTGTTGCCATCTGAACGTGGACTGCTGTGTGTCACGTGGCACTACAGTACACCACTTTGCAGGTACCCTTAGTCGCCGTTGTTGTGTGACTCTGACTTGTCTCAACGACCAAGGTATGCCAACCAAAGAGAAAGGAAGACTTGTCGCACTGCTGTGGTGCAATAATTGAAAGCATGTAGAACGTGGCGGGGTAGTCTTTTTTCGCTCTGACCTTGTCAAAGTGACCGCGCCACATATGCATATGCATACCTCAGGAGAAGCGGGCCGTTCTTAGGCTGGATATGCCATTATCAGTGTTCGATCTCTTTCGATGTGTGTCTGCAACGTACGCAGTCCTTGCCCTGCCTGTCGCGCTGCCCACTCCACATGTTGACCTTGCCTGTCACTGAACAGCAGCGGGCGGTTGTCCATGATTTCGCGAGCCGTGCTTGCTCCAAGACCTCAATCGTCCCATCAGCCGTAACGCCCCCCGCCGCTGCGTGCCACCCTGAAACGCCCCATGGCACCGCCCATCGAGCAGTAGGCTACCCAAAACGTTTGGCTCGTCGTGTGGAACGGGCAATGGGAGGCTATTTTGGGAGAGCTATATTTTCTTGACCGACCAGCACGAAAGAAGGAGATGCACCACGCGCGCTCCCCGGCGACACGAGCACTTTCTTGTCGGGGAGAGCAAGCTCTCCCAGAACAGCCCCCCATTATCGGCCCCACAACACCACCGCGTCGTCTGCTGCATGGTGGCAGTTGCCAGCATGTCTTCGAAAAGGGAGGCGCTCGACGTCATGGGCCATGAACAGGCACTCCTGAAGAGCATCTGGCCCATCACGTCGAGGGCCTCCCTCTTTGAAGACATGCTGGTCCCGTCAGCATCCGCAACCCCCACCCCCCCCCGCATGTGCCACCCTGCAACACACGACGCAGTTGACTTGTGGAACCGACAGTAGGGGACTGTCTGGAAGAGCTTGCTCTTCCCGACAAGAACGTGCAGGTGTCGCCAGGAGCGCGCGTGTGCGACGGCTTCAGGGTGATCGGACGAGCCATGTACACATGCGCAGGCAAGGTTCGGAGCACCTTCGAGGGGTAGTTTAATTTTGCTTTGGGACGGTTGATGGGTGGTTTGATGGTGCTCTTGAGATGATTGAGGGATGATTCGATGGCGATCTTGGGACGATCGGGGGACGGTGCTCGTATGCCTTCGATCGAGCACAGAACGCCGTTCAGCCCAAGCCCATCCCCGCTGTCTCTTCCGCCCCCGGAGCCGACGTCGCCTGCGTCGGAGGTACGGACATCACGTGTTTGCACGTGCTTTTACATTTTTCGGCGAGGTTGTCAGCTCTTGTTCGTACGTGTCCTCACAGATCTCGCTCTCTCTCTGATTTTTGGAGCTCGCGGGAAAGCAAGGGGACGGGTTGCAAAACGTCTGGTGTAAATGGTCCACTGCTGTATAGCTGTAAGATCGAGGGGGGGGGGGGGGG